TAAATCAAGAGAGAAGTAGAGTCATTTTCTCATAGACTTCTATACAAGAAGATAAATATTAAACAAGAACTTTTTGGTGTCATGAACTGCATGCATCTTAAAAGTAACGGGTGTGAAATGTGAAGAAGGAAAGCGTGTAATATGTGACCACCAGCTGCTCTCTGTCCCGTGTCCTGGTTGTAAGTATTTGATTCATGAATGATTTATGTCTCATGTCAGCCGGTGTTTGACGTGTCCTCCTGCAGATGAGACGGTGACCTTGTCTGCGGTTCTGGAGCGACTCAACCCTCACTTGGCTCAGATCAAAGTGCTGCACAAAGTGTTCTGCACCGGGGTCGCCGAGGTCCCCCCCGAGACCCCGAACGTGGTGCGGGCCTCTCACCTGCTCAACACCCTGTACAAAGCTATCATAGAGTACGACAGCGCCGGGGAGGCGTCGGAGCAGGCGGTGAGTGTTAGAGAGTTGATCAGATTCACTTTGCTCCCGTGCTGGTTCTCCTGTTGAGACTCAGTGACTTCACAAAGGAAACGGGCTGTATTGTGTGATCACCCCTGCGTCCGCTTCCCTTCCAGGTGGCCTTGTTATTTTCTCTGTGGACGGAGACGGTCCGACCGTATCTGGAGATTGTGGATGAGTGGATTGTTCACGGCCACCTGTTTGATCCAGCCAAAGAGTTCATCATCCAGAGGTATGTAGCAGAGCCCGATGAACAGAAACATTCCAGCGGCTGCTTACTCCACAGTGACTCGTCTTCATCCCGCTCAGGAACAAGGATGTCCCGGTGAACCACAGGGACTTCTGGTACGCCACCTACACTCTGTACAGCGTGTCGGAGACGGTGGAGAACGAGGAGAAGCTGAACGACGCAGCCAGCGGGAGCTCCGGAGGGGATCAGGGCTCCGGCAACAGGCAGCTCACCATGGTGTCCTTCCTCAAACCCGTGCTCAAGCAGATCATCATGGCCGGCAAGTCCATGCAGCTGCTCAAAAACCTGGACTGCAAGGAGACCGAGCAGACTGAGAGATCCTCCAGAGGTCAGTGTTTGCTATGAGGCAATGGGCCCCGGGGCCAAGACGTGGAGACGGCCCCACCACATCTTCTACATAGGAGCAGGACGCACACTTTAGAGTTGTTTTGCTGTTAAGCATCTCTTTGTAGTTGCTTTGTGAATCTTTGTAGTCATTTTGTGTCACTTTGTAGTTGTTTTCTATCTTTTTTAGCCACTTTGTGTCTCTTTGTGGTTATTTTGAGTCTCTTCCTGGTTGTTGAGTGTCTCTTTCAGTGACATTTTGTAGGTGAAGGCCAGCGGGGCCTCTGACTCTTTGTGTCTCTGACTCTTTGGGCCCCTGGGCCTAGAAGTCCGCTCAGTAATCTGTCCATGCCTGTGCACCTCCACTAGTTTCATTTTTAAGTGTTTTTTACTAATCGGATGAGCGTTGCTGCATCTGTTGATCAACATGTTGCGTTGCAGATGCAGAGAGGAAGAGTCTCTACACTCTGTTTCTGGAGTCGGTTCAGTCTCGTCTCTGCAGCCGAGACGAGTCGCCCGCGGACGCGGTCACCGAGCAGCAGGCCACCAGGAGGAGCCTGATCAAGATGCAGTCCATCATCTCACAGCACCTGGAGATCGAGGACGTGTACGATCCGCTGCTGGCCATCAACTTTGCCCGGTAAACGGTTACACTACATTCATGTTACAGACGACTCTTCAGATAAACAATGAAACACGGTGAACTGCTGGAATGTGAAAACAAAAAGCACTTTTGTAATCGCCAGCTGTTCTCCTCTCAGTTCATTGTTAGCCTTCATTATTTAATGCTGCGTTTGTAATCTCTCAGATGCTACTGTGCAGAGCTTTCAGGGGGTTATAGACATTAATAAATTGTGTCTCCTCTCAGGCTGTACTTGGAGCAGAGCGACTTCCACGAGCGTTTCTCCGGAGGCGACTTCACGGTGGACCGCTCGTCTCAGTCGGTCACCTGTCAGACCTTCGAGCTCACGCTGCGCTCCTGCCTCTACCCGCACATCCAGAAGAGGTACATCGAGTGCTGCGGGAACCTCATGAGGACTCTGAAGAAAGACTACAGGTGAGATTCACTGCTCAGTTATACCGGTTAGTGCTTTTCTGTTCCAGCATGCAGGTGACGTGAGTTCCTCCGTGTCTCCTCAGGCTGCTGGGATACCTGCAGGCCATGAGGAACTACTTCCTGCTGGAAGCTGGAGACACCATGTACGACTTCTACACGGCCATCTTTGACAAGGTGCAGGAGAAGGAGAGCTGGCAGCAGCTGTCCTTCCTCAACGGGCAACTGCAGGAGGCCGTGGGACAGCGCCACCCGGAGGACAGCAGCAGGTACTGCACCTGTTTATGAGAGAGAGGTGGTCTTATGTTCATGTGGTTTATTTCTGTGGCAAACATTTAGCCCTTACCAGACAACACTATATTTATACATCTTCTGGCACAAACAAAGCACGTGGACAAAATATTATTCCATGTAAATATCTTCTTTCCTCTTGTTCTCGGCTTCCTTTGAATAACTGCATGATTTATGTTTCACGTGTGAACAACCATCTCCATCTCTGTGCATCATCACAAACACAGTCATTATTTTAACCTCCATCACTTTATATTTGACAGGTTGTCGATCTTCTTGGAGCCCATCGACGCTGCCAGGAAGAAGCATCCTGTGAACAACCTCGAGGTTCTGACTCTGGGCTACAAGGTCAGCCGTGTTATTATTTACTTTATCAGTTATAGTTTTCACACAAATCAACATGTACACGCTGAATGACCCAGAAGAAGAACACAAACACTGAATAACTGCACAACTAAAATAGTTTTATATATTTAAGACTTCACAAACAAACTCAAATCCCTCAATCCATAAACAATAAACTCAATATTCCACTACAGCTTTTCTTTTTAGTCCTTTGCTCAAAGGAAAAATAAGGAAAATTAAATCAAGTTCAGTTCAAACTAAGTTCAATTAGTTCTTTGTTAGTAAAAAAAACACCAAGTGAAGAAAAGACTCACGGAGTTATTGAAGTCAGTCCGTGGATCCGGTCCAGGTTTTCCTGCTGGGTTCAGGATGAATGGCTTCCATAGAACAGCTGATGCTTCATGTTCATTTCTTCTTCTGCTCTCCTCAGGTTCCCTGGCCGGTCGACATCGTGATCAGCTCCGAGTGTCAGAAGATCTACAACCAGGTGTTTCTGCTGCTGCTGCAGATCAAATGGGCCAAATACAGTCTGGACACGCTTCGGTTCAGTGGTACGAGTTCAAGTCAGCGTCGCGGCCCAGAACATCCCGGCCCTAACCCATACACTACCAAAATAAAGCTCCTGCTAGTTTACATGTAGGAGAACAGCTCGATCATCGTGTGGTTGGTTCTTCTAGATTTCACCGACGTCACTAAGAAGCTGGAGGGAGCTCCGGCTGAGGACGTGAAGCTCAGAGAGCCGATCAACCAGCAGATTCACCGGATGTGTCTTCTGAGGGTCAAACTGATGCACTTCGTCAACAGCCTCCACAACTACATCACGACCAGGGTGAGCCGTCTTCACTGCTCAGGTCATCTGAAGATGTTCAGTACGACTCGGATACCTTGACTTGTATCGCATTGTATTACACATCCTCCTTTAAAGGACCATGATGTGGGTTAAAAGGTTCTCACCCATTGTTCACTAATACTCTGATACGACTTTATATTTCTAACCGACCACTTCTTAAAGCTCATCGTTCTGCAGATAAAATAAGAAACTATTTTGATTAAAGACGCTTTATTTGCTCCTTTTCTAAAGTTTAAATTTGATCATTTTCTGCATCGTCTCTCTGCAGATTCTGCACAGTACCGGACTGGAGTTCCAGCACCAGGTCCAGGAGGCGAAGGACCTGGACCAGCTGATCAAGATCCACTACAGATATTTGGCAACCATTCACGACCGCTGCCTCCTGAGGGAGAAGGTAAACACTCACAGAGACCAGGTGTACCTGTACATCTGGGTAGGGTTAATACACACAATACTTCAGTATATGTGTACTTCAGTGGTATATGGTGAGCTTTTTGTTTTTCCTCAGGTGAGTTTTGTGAAGGAGGCGATAATGAAGGTTCTCAATCTGATCCTGATCTTCTCTGACCGGTGGCAGGCTGGAGCCTGGAAGTGAGTGAGAGAAACTTTAATAGAAATAAAAGAATCTAAAGATCGTTTATTGTCGTTGTGATGCAACACAGGGAGGCTCAACGGAATCCAGTTGCAGAACAAAAACCAAACCTTCCTTTGGTGCATCTTTTAAATTTGCATCATCAGGAATGTAAAACAGCAGCAACAAAAACAATATGGCCGACATCTTCACAGTAATAACTCAACCTTGTCCATCAGCTCCAACTGTTTGAGCATCATGATGTAAAGTTTAGTTTAATTTTTTGCACAATTTAAACAATAAAATAAAGATAAACATAACGGAGATAAATAACATCTCAGAGCAGGAAAAGGCAGAAAGCCAACTGAAGCCTCCACCGACAGAATGTTACAATGTGACAATATTACTGAGAACATAAAATGAATATGCATAACATATGACTACGTTAAATATTATTGACAGATGTACACAGAGTCCACCTCCTCTGGTGGACTCTGTCCTGTGTTGGTCCTGGACCACTATGGATCCAGGTCTCTGTGAAGATGTGGGCTCAACAGTCACCAAACCTCCCGCTGCTTTTCATCCGTCTTATTTGTTCTGCTGCCGGACATCAGACAGCCAGGATGCATGCTGGGTAGTGGAGTAGCCTGAGTGTCTTAGCTGGGTTAGCTTAGCATCCACCTGGGCTGCTGATGCTTTTTCAATGGTCCTCCCATTGAAAAA